TTCATTTGGAAAAATAGGAGGCTCAGAATAGCCAAAGCAATCCTTAGTGAGAAGAGTAAGTCAGGAGGTATTACAATACCAGACCTTAAATTATATTTGCAGACTATCGTAACAAAAACAGCATGGTAGTGCTACCAAAACAGGCACGAAGACCAATGGAACAGAATATAGAGGACACTGAGACAAACCTACATAAATATAGTTATCTCATACTAGACAAAGCCCCCATAAACATACATTGGAGGATAGCCTCTTCAACAAAAGATGCCAGGAAAACAGGAAACCCACATGTAGCAGAATGAAATTTAACCCCTATTTCTCAGCCTGCACAAAACTCAATTCAAGTGGACAAGCACCTAGGCATTAGACCAGAGACCCCGCACCTACTAGAAGATAATGTAGGCCCAACATTCCATCATGTTGGCTTAGGAATCAACTTCCTCAATAAGACTCCTAAAGCACAAGAACTAAAATCAAGGATCAATAAATGGGATGGCATCAAACTAAAAAGCTTCTTCACAGCAAAGGAAACAATCAAGAACATGAAGAGAGAGCCTACAGAATGGAAGAAAAATCTTTGCCACCTGTACCTCAGACATACCATTAATCTCCAGGATATGTAAAGAACTCAAAAATCTTAACACCAAAAAAACAAAAACAACAACAAAAACACACAAACAAACAAAAAAAAACCCCAAAACCCAAATAACCCAATCAATAAATGGGCAAAGGAACCGAACAGGTGCTTCACAGAATAAGAAATAAGATTGGTCAACAAATACATGAAAAAAATATACAACTTCTCTAGCAATTAGAGAAATGCAAATTAAAACTACACTGATATTCTATCCCACTCCATTCAGAATGACAATTATCAAGAAAACAAGTAACAATACATGTTGGCGAGGATGTGGGGAAAAACTTTACTCATACTTTGCTAGTAGAACTGCAAATTTGTGTAACCCTCTGGAAAGTAGTAAGGAAATTCCTCAGAAAACTTGGAACCACCATTTGACCCAGCTATCTCACTCCTCAGTTTATACCCAATGAACTTAAAATCAGATGCAGCCACATCAATATTTATAGCAGCTCAATTCACATTAACTAAACTATGGAACCAACGTAGGTGCCCTTCAACAGATGAATGGATAAAGAAAATGTGGCACATATACACAATAGAATATTACTCAGCCATAAAAAAGAGTGACGTTATGATTGCCAGTAAATGGAAAGATATGGAGATTATCATGCTAAATGACATAAGTCAATTCCAAAAAACCAAAGGCTGAATGTTCTCTGATATACAGATGCTAACAAACAACAAAGGGGAGGGAGCAAAGAATAGAAGTTCATTGGATTAGTCAAAGGGGAATAAAGGGATTGGTGGAGGGATGGGAATAAGAAAGACAGAAGGAATCCGACATACTTTTGTATGTTTATATATGAATACACCACCAATGAAACTACATAATGTACAACCACAATAGGATCCTAATTAGAATAAGTTACACTCCATGTATAATATGTCAAAATACACTCTACCGTCACGTATATCTAAAAAAACACATTAAAAAATTAGAATCTATTTTTTAAAAAGATGAAGGGAAAAGATTGAGTACCACCCCTTTCTAACCCAATTCTTATGCTTAGTTTGGGTACTTCAGGATCTAGGATATGTCCCTTTGATCTCCTACTCAGCAACATCATAAAAGATCTTCTCTGACTTTGGACTGAACTCAACTCGTTGCAACACGATGTGCAGAACTTCTGCTCTACATGGCTGGAATGTTGCAGGGCAGGGGCTTCACTTTAGAATGTGCACATTCTCTCAGCCCATCCGATCTTGTCTTCTCAGTGTGGGGCCTTTGGGGAGGAGCTGGGCTATGCCAGAGTTGGAGAATCTGGAGCATGTGGCCCTTCACCCTGGCCCAGAGGCCTTGGGTTCTTGAGGGTCATGCTCTGCAGAGGTATGCTCTCAAGGTGTGGTCTAAACCCCAAACACAAGCAGCAGCCTCAAAGGTGAGCTATCTGTCTTGGAAGGGGCAGGAGTCTTGCTGCCTGGAGTTTCTCTGCCTTTGCAGCTGAAACGAAGAGGGCACTTGGCTCTGGACCAAACACACCTTCCTGGGTACCAAGACTGCCTGCTTTACCTGGAGCCCTTAATGAAGACAGAGAAAGTGGCAGGGGAAAACTGGAGTTTCCCAGGATTCTCCCTTCCCCACTTAGCACCTCTGGGCACCAGCTTCAGGTCTTTCCATTTTAATTAATCCAGTGAACCAGCCTCTACCTTTCAAAGGAATCCAAGGGAAATCTTTCTGCCAAATTCCAGCTGAGTCCCTGTGACACTCAAGAACATGGGCCAGGCTCTTGTGTAGGTTAAGGTAGTTGGAGAAGAATGAAGATTATAGGGAAACAGTCTACCTTTCTTTACAAGGCCTTGTTTTGCATCCCTGGAATCTCAGATTCAGCTACTACAATGAAGTCCTGTTGCAGAAAGAGCTGGCCTTTTATCACCACTTAAAATCTAATTAATCCATATTGAAGCACAAAGATTTCTGTTGTACTTTAGGGTGAGGGGTCATAGAGCCCTCTTTGTTCATCCTTAGACTTATAATCATCAAGCATTGAGGATATAATTTTACCAAGCAAATTGGAAGGTAACAGATCAAATCCTTATCAGAAAGCCTAACTCATAGTTTTAACAGAGTCCTCCATCCTTTACATGAAACATTATATTCAAGAGGAACAAAAACACACTTCAGAGAGCCCAAAGAGTTAATGACCAAAGCTTATATTCCAGGCAGCATAGAAGCAAGATCGTCACACTACTGTCAACCACAAAGGACAGCAGATCCTATAGGGTGGCAAAGTTGCAAGATTTGTTGCAATGGCTTTAGCTTTTAGAATAGCTACACAATCTGTTGGGCTTTCATTATCTTTGCTGGGATGGGTTTTATCCATTATTACAACTTACTTGCCACATTGGAAGAACCTCAACCTGGACTTAAATGAAATGGAAAATTGGACCATGGGACTCTGGAAAACCTGCGTCATCCAGGAGGAAGTGGGGAGGCAGTGCAAGGACTTTGATTCCTTCCTGGCTTTGCCGGCTGAACTCAGAATCTCCCGGATTTTAATGTTTCTGTCGAACGGGCTGGGATTCCTGGGCCTGCTGGTCTCGGGGTTTGGCCTGGACTGTTTGAGAATTGCAGACAGACAGCAAGATCTCAAGAAGCGACTGTTAATCCTAGGAGGAGTTCTGTTCTGGACCTCGGGAGTCACAGCCCTCGTTCCAGTCTCCTGGGTTGCCTACCTGACAGTTCAGGAGTTCTGGGACGAGACCATCCCAGAGATTGTTCCCAGGTGGGAGTTTGGGGAAGCCCTCTTTACTGGCTGGTCTGCTGGCTTTTCTCTTTTGCTAGGAGGGTGTCTGCTCTACTGTGCAGCCTGTTCCACCCCAGCCCCTGGAGCTTCTGGCCACTATGCAGTGGCAGAAATGCAAACTCGGCGCCTATATCTGGAAAATGGAACTACAGACCCTAAAGTGTAGGATGCCGACAAGACCAGTCATCTTCTGTACCACCTATGATGACAAAAAGGTCTTTGTTAAGTAACTAAATCTGTGCTGCTCATATTTTCTCACTCCATGACTACTTTTCTATACTAAGCTCTTTCTTCCCAACTCTCGAGATGAATGAAGGGAAGTCTTCTATCTAAAAGAAAATGGTTATGGCAAGCATTACATAGGTATGAAGGAAAATAATGTCATTGATCTGGTTACTTAAATAAATACGTGGTGGTGGTTGTCCAACATAGTCTGGAGCTTTAATGTATTCATTTTGTGTTGGAAAGCTTGTTTTGTTAGTACTTGGAAATGATATTGTCTCCTAAAGAAAATAACAACAATCTGAACTATTCTCCATCAGTAAAACCACATGCTAAGCCAATCCCAAAGTTATCATTTCCATAACAATAACTGATCTTCTTTGAATAAAAATGGTTTGTGTTTAGAAATTCCTCAGCACCCTGTTTAATTTTATGAGGCAGATTTTTAAAAAACATCATATTTAGAAAAGAACAATTCCAAAGATTTTTTTAACATCTAAATATCATCAGTTCATTTGCTGGAATTAAAATATTCCTGTGCGTAACTAAAATTACAAACACAGGAATACAGATTAAATTTAGTGTTGACTAGAGATGTTGATCCAAAGTTCTATTGCTTAACTTTTCCACAGCACAGAAAACATTTCAGCAAAGGAAAAACAAAACAAAACAAAACAGTAAGTGCTTATGCATACTTGAGTGAATTTAAGAGAAAGGCATGTAGATAAGCAGACCTGATATTTAATTCAGTATTGTTTCATATGCTAGGTGTTAAATGTAGCCAAAGAGATTTTAAAAAACAGGCCTGACTTAAGGTCTAGAGATTTCTGATAAGATTGATTTATTTGGTTAAGAAATACTTTTCTTGAACCTATTTTTTTAAAAATGAAAACTCTAAGTATTATCATAACATACACATTGAAATGTGAGAACTGTAACAGAAGAAAATCTGACAGGTGCAATTAGCATGATAGAAAGCAGGAGGAGCTGAACCAAAACCTTCAATTAAACATTTTTGCATTTAGACTTCTTAATTCTTTGATTTGTTAGAAAAGGAACAACAAGAAAGCCATTTATACCTTAACAATGAAAGGAGGATTAGTACTACTTAATTTATTTTACTGACAAAGTGCTTTCTACAGAATTCAGACCATAGGACATGAATATGATCTGGGCCACACCTTGGCATTACTGGTTTACAGCATTATTTCCCTATCCTTTTCTGAGACCTTTTCATCATGGAATCAAACAGTATCAACTCTGGCAAGAATCCTCCTATATACACAATGAAAAAATATTTATGAACTCCACAAGAGATAACTCAAGTGTCACACTTCTTTTCATAGCAACCGGAGGGCAGGAGTAGGGTTGGCTAAGCCTGGCGGGATTTCATGATGGCTTTAGTCTTTAGAATAGCAATGCAGTCTATTGGACTTTTATTTTCTTTGCTGGGATGGGTTTTAGCCTGCCTTACAAACTATCTGCCGCACTGGAAGAACCTCAACCTGGACTTAAATGAAATGGAAAATTGGACCATGGGACTCTGGAAAACCTGCGTCATCCAGGAGGAAGTGGGGAGGCAGTGCAAGGACTTTGATTCCTTCCTGGCTTTGCCGGCTGAACTCAGAATCTCCCGGATTTTAATGTTTCTGTCAAACGGGCTGGGATTCCTGGGCCTGCTGGTCTCGGGGTTTGGCCTGGACTGTTTGAGAATTGCAGACAGACAGCAAGATCTCAAGAAGCGACTGTTAATCCTGGGAGGAGTTCTGTTCTGGACCTCAGGAGTCACAGCCCTCGTTCCAGTCTCCTGGGTTGCCTACCTGACAGTTCAGGAATTCTGGGACGAGACCATCCCAGAGATTGTTCCCAGGTGGGAGTTTGGGGAAGCCCTCTTTACTGGCTGGTCTGCTGGCTTTTCTCTTCTGCTAGGAGGGTGTCTGCTCTACTGTGCAGCCTGTTCCACCCCAGCCCCTGGAGCTTCTGGCCACTATGCAGTGGCAGAAATGCAAGATCACTGTCAACAACAAGAGATGAAAAACACCAACCCAAAAGTCTAAGCCAGGAGGGATCAGTGGTATCTACTCTTCAAGGTGATGCTTGCTCAACTCTGGATTCGGTAGGATCTCATGCTGCACAGTCACCCACTCATTATGCTTTTGATTACCTAAAATGCACTTTTCCCCTTGTGACTATTAGTTTCTTTAAAAAACAGTTTCTTTCTAAGACTGGTAAACAACATTTATTTTCTACTTGGACCAAAACCAATCAAGACCTAATAGTAATCACATTCATTTCTGTATAAGAGTTCTCTCAATTTTAAAACAGGCTCAGTGATTGCACAAAACTGGTAAATGAAATGTCATTTTAGTAGTTACATATCTTTGAAGGTATTATTCATATGGAGATGAATAATTTTGGCAATTGGAAACATTACTGCTAATCATTTACTTCCTTCAGGTTTTTAGGATAACCTATAATAATGAAACTAAGATCTCTCTGCATATTTATCTTAAATGCATGACACCTGATTACACTAAAAAATTGCTGGCTATTTAAAGATTTTGAATCATCCTTTTCAATCAGGGGCTTCAGTACCTCTATGGTACCTGTTCCAGAAGTCCTTTACATTCATTCATGTCCTCAAGCAGAGGAGGGCAATCTTGTGTTCTGGAAGATTCATGTAGAATCTGCCACACAAATGTGTATCTGCTTCTGTGTCCTATGCTCACTTCATGGTCGACCTTCCTATCCTCCCCTGGCTCTGAGCAGCCACAGGGGGCATGGCAGGTCCAGACGTGTGTGGGCAGAAGGCATAGTGCCAGCTTAGGTGTGCTATGCCAGAGCATGCACTTGGGAGCCCTTCATTTCCCTTGCACAAGGAAGATGCTCCATTTTTCTTCTCTTTAAAGTCAGCAATACATATAGTCCAAACAAGAGCTACTCATAGCAAACTTCTGGCTCGGGGAATTCTTTGTGGAACATTTTGTATTTGCTTGATACATGATTCAAGTAAACTCTTGTGTTTGTGCCAATCAAGGAAATTAACTGAACAATAGGCAACAGAAAAGTATTAAGCAATATGTATCTTTGTTTAAAAAAAGTTGAATTTTTTCCCCCATCCGCAAACACATGGAAAGTGCAGAAACCAAAGTTAATCTATGTGATGTATTTGCAAACTTTGACAAACAGGACAAATTAAAGCAGGAACATATTCAGAATTTAACCTGATTAAATATTTAGTTCAATCCTGAGCTTTTGATATTTAATACAATATAAAGCCATAGCAAAAAAAAAAAAAAAAAAAAAAAAAAAAAAAAACAACTTTAATTTTATTGGATTTGCATGCTACAGAGATTCAGCTAAACTTTGTTCATTTGGCTAGTAATATTCTTTTTGTACCTGTAACACTTAAGATTCTGATATACAAAATTGTAATAACATACTGATAATTCAAAATTGAGATCTAAATATTACATTCTTTTTACCCTGTGCAGAATAAATTCTACCTTTTTAAAATAGTATTTATATTAAAATTCGTATTTGTCCATATGGTTTTGTGATCAAAGTTAGTAAAAAGTTTTGTCATTGTGAATCTTTTGGGTTAGTACAAATATGACAAGAGTATTAAAAGCTGCCTATAAATACATAACACTATTGCTGATTTTTAAAGCGTGGAAAGGATTATATTAAAATAAGTTTGCCTCTCATGTTAGAATAAGCAAATTTTGTAAAATAAAACCAAAAGTCTCTTGGTCACACTGTTAACTACCAGCCTGAGACAGATTTTATTCTTTAATACTTGTCTGAAACTTTTTGTATTACAAAAAGTTAACAGTTAATCTGGTGAAGTTTATAAAGCTGTAAAATACTCCAATATAGCCTCTTCTATGTCAAACATTTAAAATGGCCAGAACCAAACTATATATTAAACAGAACATAAATAAGACCGTAAATAAATAAATGAAGAAAATAAAATCGTACGGCACAACTACACAAGTTCTATAAACATTTTCATGGTCAAACTAAGAAGCTGAAAACAGCTGACCTTCATTTAACTCTACATTAAATAAACTTCTTTCACATTTGACCTTAACAAGGATGAATGGTATTTTTTTCTAATTTGCCTTATTCATTTAACACTAGATTGGGCAGCCTAGAAGGACTGTACAGTCCATCAATAGGCTGGGTTTTGTTCAAGGCAGGGGTCACATCCAGTTATATCTTCCAAGAAATTTGCATTTGAGTTATGGAATATTTAGAAAAAAAAAAAGAAACTTTTAGGCTCAGAAACTGCTTAAGGGCTTTGATTCTGATAAAATAAATTTTCCAAAATATGTATAATTAGTTTCAAGAAAATAAAATTTTTTGCTAGTGAGAATTCTAGCATAGGAACAAAACTTTTTCTTCTTTAAGATGACTTTGCATTTCTTAAAAAAAAAAAGAACTTAGTTTGCTATACAAGACGGCTAACCAAAAACTGCTTCTTCCAGTATAACAGACTGAATAATAAGTATGGCTTAAATTGCCTATAGACTATATACTGTAAAAGCCTTTTGGTGGCAAAGCTATACTGAGGACTTATTTCTTTAAAGAAGTGCCTGGGCTGTGTAAGCTAAAATACTACAGTGGGAAACAGGACGCTTTAGTCAGTTTATATTGCCAAACTTGTTCATCCAAAATAGTTTCTTTTTCTTTCCTTCTTGTTAAACAAATGATTTACCTTATTCTCCAAATTAATAATTCCCTCCCAGGCACTCTTTCCTTTGCTTCCCAACTACTTACCACAAATTATAGATAGAATCCCTTAAAAATGAGAGCTGCAAAGTGATTTCTAGTAAATGTCAGAAATCTGATAAACTATTTATTTTGGCAACTTCAATTCAATTAAGACACACCATTTCCTCTGTTCTTGGCTTCACCAATGAGTGAGAATGCGTCCCCTCCACCTCACAGTGCTGTCTGGCCCTGGAACCCAGGACCCCATGAGCTTCTCGCTGGCACCATTCTCACGCCTAGGACAGAGCATTGGTGCAGACTAGAAACTGGATCACTTGCAAATTCAGGTGAAGTCAGAAGTAGCAGCTGCTCCTCTTTTGAGCTCCTGTAGTGTATTTTAGGATTTCTGGTGTGCTTCTCTCTTCCACCTTGCCCTCAATGTCTAAGATCTTTAAGGTAGTAAGGAGTACTGCTCCTTGGCATTCTTGATATCCTTACATTCAGTATAGTTGTCTAAAGACAATTATGAAAAGGACAGAGAGGAAGCTGTTTTAAGGAACTTAAGTGTTCTGACACAGGTGATGGGAATGAGCACAGCACCTGTGTAGGACTCAGCTCTGTGCTCACTGCCAACAGGAAGAGCAGCTTTCTAGCTCAGAAACACTGCATGGCACCACTGCCCCCTTCACAGTCTCCTCACAAGGAAACAAAGAAAATCCCAGAACGCCACTGACACAAGCTGCTTCCCAGCAGTCAGCTCAGGGGTAGACACTGGTACTCACTGCCTCTTGTCCACATACGTGATGGAGCCACTGGGGACACACGTGCGCTGCACATTGGTGTGCCAGATTATCCCATTTTTGTTATCAGATGTTTTGTCTTTCTTTAAACACATAAGGATTACATTCAAGTTACTTTACAAATTAACATATTGAAAATCTGGTATAAAATGAAAATTCTTCAAGAGTTGACAATTATATGTTACAAAAAAAAAAAGAAAGAAAGAAAGAAAGAAAAAGCAAATTGTTCAGTCTTTTGCCCTCCCTAAGAAAGTAAACAGGTGAGAAACAATTTGTTAAGCCATGAAGTCACACATCATCAGCTGGCAGGGACGGGATGCTTATCTTCGCTCGGGTGAAGTAGGCAATCTTCTCCCTAGAGGTGGGGATGAGACACCAACTTTAGCTAGATGCTCAAAATGGTCAACATCCTTAGCAACCAGGGAAACACAAATCAAAAGAACACTGAGATTTTATTTTATCTCACTCTAGTTAGAATGACAAACGTCAAGAATGTAAATAACAACAATTGCTAGTGAGGATGTGGTGGTGGAGTACATTTTTACATTGTTGGTTGGACTGCAAATGAGCATACTGGAAAGCAGTATGAAGATTTCTTATAAGTCTATAAATGGGGGCCAGGGTTGTGGCTCAGTGGAAGAGCACTTGCCTAGCATGTGTGAGGCACTGGGTTCAATCCCCAGCACCACATAAAAAAATAAACAGGGGGCTGGGATTGTGGCTCAGCGGTAGAGGGCTCGTCTAGCATGTGCGAGGCCCTGGGTTCGATCCTCTGCACCACATAAAAAAATAAATAAAGATATTGTGTCCAACTACAACTAAAAAAAATAAGTAAATAAATAAAATAAAGGTATTGTGTCCATGTACAACTAAAAAAAATATTTAAAAAGACTAGGAATGGAATCACCTTATAATCCAAATACTCCACTCCTTGTTATTTATCCAAAAGAACTAAAGCCAGAATACAAGTTTATAGCAGTGCAATTCACAGTGGCCAAAACTGCCCTGTATCCCAAAGCAGAGATAAGAAGAAGCAACCCACAAGGGAGAAGCTGAGAAGGACCAGACAGACAGTTTTCAAGTTAGGAAAGTGCCAGAACTAGTTTAGGTGTCCACTTACAGACAAATTGGATAAAGAAAATGTGATATGAATTCACAACAGAATTTTACTCAGCCATAAAAAAATGAAATTAGGTCATTTGCTAGTAAATGGATGGAACTAGAGAACATTATGCTAAGTGAAATAAGTCAGGCTCAGGAAGTCAAGGGTAGAAGTTTTCTGTCATATGTGAAAGCTAGTGAGAATAAATAAAAAAACAGAAGAAGAAAAAGGGATCTCACAAAAATAGAAGGGAAACCAACAGAGGATACAGGAAGGGATTTGAGAGGGAGGAAGTTGAGGAGGGCATGGGGAAGTACTAGGGAATGAAATCTACCAAATTATGCTCTGTCCATGTATGAATATCCCACAATGAATCACACTTTTATATATAAATGCACTAATTAAAATAATAATACAAGGGAGATCAGTAGAATAGAACAGGTGGATGGTGGAACGGAGAGAAGAGGGAAGGTAAAGGAATGAGACTGACCAGATTATGTTATGGTCATGTATAAATAAGGCACAATAAATCCCACTGTTATGTATAATTATAATGTACTCATAAAAAAAATCCTGCATTAAAATACTTCTAAGAACTTAGCAGTGTTCCCACAAGCCCAGATGGGAGATTTTTTCCTCAGACAGAACTCCATTTAAAGTCAAGACAGTCTCTGCTTTTTAAATGTAGGAAAAAAAAAAAACAACCAAAATTCTGGCTATGGTAAACACCTATAGACCCAGCCAATTTCCTTTGGGGATTTCCAACATAAGACCATTTTTAAAAATCTAGGTGTTTCTAAATAAGATAGTAGAGGATTCAAAAGGGCCAAAATTCTGCCCTTCCCAGTGACCTCACAGAAGAGTCCATAATATCAGGGAAATTCTTTCAGTTAGCAAGATGCTAAGGCAGGGACAACCGGGTGAGTATACCATGACACAAATGGAGAGAGATGAGAAACCTGATCAGCTTAGAGGGAAAAACTGCCCTGTATCCCAAAGCAGGGATAAGAAGAAGCAACCCACAAGGGAGAAGCTGAGAAGGACCAGACAGTTTTCAAGTTAGGAGAGTACCAGAAAGAACAAGATTTTAGGATTTTACAGTTAGTCATCAAAGGTGAGAGCAATCTCTCTTTTCACAAAACCTCACACGGTACATAGTATTCCTTAAACACAGTTCTGGGGCACAAGAAGGTCATGCTGGTAGCCATAAAGGATGGAGCACTGGCCCCACTTGAGAAACAGACTGACTCAATGGCAGAGGGAGAGTGGGGCTAGAAACAAGAACTGGGGAGGATGTTTTCTGTCTAAAGACTAAGGAAAGGTAGAAAAGAAAAGGAAGAGTAAAAACACTGAGGAGACTGGGTTGAGAGTTGTTTTTGTGATATAGTGTCCTTTAGATTAGTTCAGTTGAATAAGAATCTAAAAAATAAAAATAAAAAAGAATCTCAAAAGGCAAGAGAATGTGGGCATGATGTTGGTGGAGACCTCGAGGTACACTCAAAAACCAGGGTATTTTAAAATACTTGAATTACTTTATTTGAAATAGGTCACATAAAATCCTCAATTTCTGATATTAACATTCACTGCACTCTGAAGTGAATTCCTACAGAATCAGATGACTGGCATAATCCAAAAACTATCCCTGGGCAGGGCCACTCACCTGAAGGACTGCACCTGCCTAGGCACCTTCCGGCTCTGTTCCCGAAGTCGACACACGTCCTTGGAGACTTGCCTCATCAATTTTTCTGCATTCAAATCTTGTTTCTGTTCTTCTTTTGACTGTTCAGCCTGGGAAAGAAATAAAAATACAAGAAACCCACAGAATATTAATTATAAATCCCTGCTACATGCTGCAAGGCTTGAGAGACTGGGGGCTAAAGCCAGGCAGGTAAGCCAAGCAGCCAGTGGTGTCTCTTTTTACCAATCAGGGGAGAATCCCATGTTCTACTCATGCTGAGGGAAGCAAGCACTGATTCAGGCGCAAGTTTATTTTAATTGCATTTAAAAATTTTATTACATACAAAACAATTTTCTTATACCTGGAAAGCCTAAGGAATGCCTCAAAAAAGAAACTGAAAACTACCACTGTTTGCAAGAAATGTCTACTGCTAATATTTTGGTGAATACACTTTCAAACTCTTATTCATCTTTTCAAATCTGCACTCCCCATGGTAGCCACTGGAGAAACTGTTCATTGAAGTAGAAATTATCTTCCAAACAAGTACACATGGAAGTGTATACCTCAAAGATCTTTACAACTGGAACATACCCATGTAACCTGTGGAACATGATGGAACAGAAAGAACATTCCCAGTTCTCAGAAGCCTCCTTCCAGTCATCACCCTGAGTGCTACCAGGTCACTGGGAAGGGCAGAATTTTGGCCCTTTTGAATCCTCTACACACTCCTGTCTGTGTGTCCTTTGTGTGAACAGTACAGTAGGCACTCTTCAGTGTTTGACTTTTTTTGTTTAACATTACCCTTATAGGAATCAGACATACTATCACATGAAGCTGCATCCTGTATTTCTCACTGCTGCATAATATTCCACAGTGCAACTTCACCACAATTTATTATCTCTGTTACTGCTGAAGGACACTTGGATATTTCACATGAATTTTTTCCCAACATTTTTTTATTGGTGCATTAGAGTTGTACATTATGGTGGGATTTGTTGTTACATATTAGTACATGCACACAATATTACAACATATTTTGCCTAATTTGGCTCCCCAACACTTCTCTCCTATGAATAAATTTTTTAAATCAGCTGGAGATATATAGCTCAGTGGTAGAGTGCTTGCCTAGTGTACACAAGGCCCTGGGTTTGATTCTCCAGCACAGGGGGAATAAAACTAAAAATACCAATATAATAAGTTCCTTTTCCATTCATTTGATTACTTATGTATTCATCATTTAGTCACCAACCAACAAATACTTGTTGACTGCCTTCTAAGCAAAGGTGGTGCAAATTAGTGGCAAAGAGTGCAAGTTCTGGAGCCAAACTGTCTGAATCCAAATTCTGTTTCTATCACTTTCTAATTATGTACATTTGTGCAAGCTGTTTTGACCTCTCTGTGCCTCAGTTTCTTCATTTGTAAATTTGGAATATGTAATTCAAAGGGTTGTTGCAAAATTTAAATGAGTGTAAGTAAAGCATTTAGAGCAGTAGCCAACACATAATTAAATCCACTATTTTAATGTTCAGTTATTACTGTTATTTTTACTATTGGCTAGGCACCAGGAGGTAGGAACAGAGTTTTCCCCCACAAGTCCAGTGAGGGAGAAAAAAATAAAAAAGAATAGAACTTGTTTCATAATCATTAATGTTAATATTTTTGCAGGTTAACAGATCTTCCTCACCACAATGTTTTTAAAACACAGAGCTTTTAAGGCTGTCAGTCAAATGGAGCAGAAAGTAGAATTTCCATACATTTCCTGCCCCACATATGATCAACTTCTCCCACTACCAACATCCTCCACCACAACAGCACATCTGTTTCAGTTGATGAGCCTATTGTGACACATCATTATCACCAGAAGTCCATAGTTTACATCAGGCTTCACTCTTGGTGCAATCTTATTGGTTTGGGCAAATGTACAATGACCTGTGTTTATCATGTAGTATGTAAGGAAGAGTTTCACTGCCCTAAAATCCCCTGTGCTCTGTTTCCTCCCTATCACCCCCTGCCTCATGCTCTGGCAACCACTGATCTTTTTACTCTTTCCAGAACTTTGTTTCTTCCAAACTGTCACAGAGTTGGATTGATGTAATATGTAGTCTTTCCAGTTTGGCTCCTTTTACTTAGTGCATTAAGTTTCCTCCATGTGTTTCCGTAGGTTGATAGCTCACAGTGTTGAATTATATCACATTGTTTTGATGTTTCAGTTTATCCATTCATCTAGTGAAGGCCATCTCCATTGCTTCCAAGTTTTAGTATTTATGAATAAAGCTGTTACTTAACATGGACTTAAGTTTTCAACTCATTTGGATAAATATCAAGGACTGTAGTTGCTGGATTTCATGTAAGAATATGTTTTACTTTGTAAGAAACTGCCATGATGCCACAAATGCTGCACCATTTTGCATTCCCACCAGCAACAAACAAGAACTCCTGCTGCTCCACATCCCTGCCAGCATTTGATGTTGACTATGTTCTGGATTTTGCTACTCTCACAGGCATGCAGTGGTCTCTTGTAACTTTAAGCCACAATTCCTAATGACATATGACATGGAATATCTTTTCATATGCTTAATTTCCATCTATATATCTTCTTTGCCAATTTTTTAATTGGTTGGTTGTTTCATAGCCCTGAATTTAAGAGCTCTTTCATCATTTTGGATAACAGTCATTTATCAGATATGTCTTTTTGCCTTCTTTTTCTCTTGACATGTCATGTGTGGTACAGAAATTTAGATTTTTTTCATTTTTTGGATGCTAATGTAAATGATACTGTGTTTTAAATTTCAAATTCCACTTGTGCTTTGATGATGTATGGGAAAGGAATTGACTTTTGTGTATTAATCCTGTATCCTGCAACTTTGATATGATCATTTATTAGTTCTGAAAGTTTTTTTGGAGGGGGATCGGATCTATTCTTTCAGATTTTCTATAATCATTAAAATTTCCTTCCTATACTGTATACCCTTTCTTTTCTTGTGTTATTGCATTAGCTAAGACGTCCAGTGTGACACAGAAAAGGAAGAGTGCTGTGGGACATCCTCTTTCTGCTCCTATCTTAGAGACAAAGCTTCTTGTTTCTTACCATTAAGTTTTCTTCTATTCTGAGGTCGCTTAGCACTTTTAAGATGAATGGGTATTAAATTCTGTCAAATGCTTTTTTTAAAAAAAGCATGTATTGATTTTATTGTGTTTTTTTCTTTACTAATTTATTCATGTGACAGATTATATTAATTGACTTTCAAATGTTGAACCAGCCTTGTATACCTGGGATAAACCTCCCGTGGTCATGGTAATTCCTTTCATACACTGCTAGATTGGATCTGTTAATATCTTGTTAAGGATTTTTACATCTATTTTTGACATAATGGGATTTGACAAAATTAATCTTACAAGCTCTTGCTATGTTGCCCAGGCTGGTCTTGAACTTCTGTGCTAACATCCATCTCCAAAATAGCTGGGACTACAGGTGCTCACCACCATGCCTGACAGTAACTTTCTTGAAATGTCTTTGATTGGTTTCAGTACCAGGGTGATGCTGACCTCCTAGAAAAAGTTAGCAGGTATCTCCTCTGTTTCTATCCTCTGTAAAACACTGTGGAGAAGATAGTTCTTTCCTTAAAATGTTTGGTAGAATTCACCAGTAAACCCATCTAGGAATGGTGCTTTCTATTTTGGAAGGCTTTTAATTACCAGTTCAATTTCTTTAGTAGACATAGACCTATTCTGGTTGTCTATTTCTTCTTATATGAGTTTTGGCAATTGTGTCTTTCAAGAAATTGGTCCATTTTATCTAGGTTATCAATGTGGGCAGAGTTGTTTATACTATTCATTATCCTTCTAATGTCCACAGGATCTGTAGTGATATTCCTTCTTTCATTTCTAATATTACTAATCCAAATTGTCTTCTCCCTTTTTTCTCAAGTCTGGTTAGTAGTTTGTCAATTTTATTGATCTTTTGAAACAACCAGCTTTTGGTTTTACTGATTTTCTCTACTGATTTCCGATTTTCAACTCAATGCATTTCTGCTCTGATTTTTATGATTTCATTTCTTATGATAACTTCAAATTTAGTTTTCTCTTCTTTTTCTGGTTTCCTAAGGTAGAAGTTTAGATTATTGATTTCAGATTTTTCTTCTTTTCTAGTATATGCACTGAATGCTGCACATTTTTCCTCAAACATTGCTTTTACTCTATCCCAAATTTTGATATGTAATTTTTCATTTTTATTTAGTTCAAAATATCTTTTGAGATTTTATCTTTGATCAGGTATTTAGCAATGTGTTGTTTAATCTCCAAATGTTTTAGAATTTCTCAGTTATATTTCTGTTACTGATTTCCATGTTTAATTTTACTGCATTCTCTAAAGACATACAGTATTATTTGTTAATGTGTGTTTAGAGCCTGGGATGTGACCGTCTTGGTGAAAGTTCCATGTGAACCTGAGAAAAATGTGCAATCTGCTGTTATTGGATAAAGCAGTTTCCAGATGTCAATTATACCCTGTTGATTGATAGAACTGTTGAGCTCAACTATGTCTACTGGTTTTCTGCCTGCTGGGATCTGCCAGCTCTGACAGAGGCATGCCTAAGTTTCCAAATGCAATGGGTGGATTCATCTATTTCCTTGCAGTTCTGTCAGTTTTTGCCTCTCATATTGACTGTTGGGCACATATATATTAAGGATGGTTATGTCTTCTTGGAGAATTTACCCCTTTATTATTATGTCATGCCCTTCTTTATTCTTTACAACTTTTCTTGCTCTGAAGTCAGTTCCATCTGAAATTAATAAAGCTACATTTTTTTAGTTTTTTTCTACCCATTTACTTTTAGTCTGCATGTATTTCTTGTACACAAAATAGATGAATTTATAAATAATAACATGCAATAATAAATTTTTTTTTCTGAAATTTTCTATTTAATGCTTCAAACTGTAGACAACCACGGTAAATGAAAACATGGAAAATGGAACTATGGACAAAGGGGATTACTGTATATGAGTTGGCTTTCGGAAGGTCTTTTTGGAAAGCTGCTTTAAGAGAAAAAAAATTCAGGGCTAGGGATGTGGCTCAAGCGGTAGTGCGCTTGCCCGGCATGCGTGCAGCCCG